ATTGGATCCTTTGGAGACTTGCTTCTTGAGTTCTTTATAAATTTTGGAGATCAGCCCTCTGTCAGATGTGGGGTTAGTAAATATCTTTTCCCATTCTGTGGGCTGATGGACTTAGTTTTTTAAACCATGATTTGAGTAGATGTAGAAACTACAGAGGTGAGTATAATACCGCAATAGTTCTTCACTTTTCTTCCAATTCCTGTATTTTCTACTGTATCTGTGTAAATTAAGGCCTTCTTGGATGAGTTCACTGTTGTCCCTGGGTTTTCTTTTCTTTTTTTTAAGAAGTATTTTGTTATTTATTTTTTTTTTTACATTCCAATCCCAGTTCCCTCCTCTCGCCCTGCTCCCCCCCCCCCCACTTCACTGCTCCTCTGCTCCGAGGAGAGGATGAGGCATCCCCTACGAAGTCTGTCCCATCATCTCGTTGAGGCAGGACCAAGGCACCTCTCCATCCCCACACCCCTGTGTCTAGGCTGTTCCCTGAGTTTTCTGTGGGTCCTGTTTTCAAGATACAATTTATTTGAAAAATCATTTGTTAGTAGGGGCTAGACCGATGACTCAGCAGTTAGGAGCTCTGACTGTTCTTCCAGAGAACCCAGGTTAGATTCCCAGAAGCCACATGGTGGCTCACAACCATCTGTAACTCCAGTACAGGGATGGGGGGGGTCACATTCTCCCAGCCTCCTTAGGCACTGTATGCGAGTAGTGCAAGTAAAAACACCCATACACTGAAAATAAAATGAAAACAAAAAAATAATTTGCTGTAAAATTTGTTTGCAAGTTAAACTGTACAAGCATCCAACACCTCAAAAGGCCATAATTTGTGTGGTAATTTAGTGTGTCCAGAGCCCTGTTCATCAATGAGAATCTCTGGGATGATAATTAAATTCATTACTACGCATCCTGAGTATCTGGACCATTGGTTATGTGTTAAGATTTTCTTTATACTTTTAGCCTCAGATGTCCTTAAATTCAGTTACTGGCTCCCTGGTTTTCATCCTTAATAGAGCCACAGAGAACAAACTTGAGAAGTTTGAGTGAGCATATGCTGAAAAAAAAGTTGAACTTATTCCATTGAAAAGCTTGCGTACTCAGTTTCTACCCTCTGGGCATGAGTGCTAGGTTTTGTTTGTTTGTTTGTTTTTGTTTTTAACTTGATACAAGTTTGGGTGATCTGCAAGGGGACCTCAACTAACAAAGTGCTTGCATCAGATTTGCCTGTAGGTAAGTCTGCAGACACATTTCTTTGATTGTTGATTGATGTGGGAGAGTCCAGGGCACTATGAATGATGCCATCCCAGGGCAGGTGGTCCTGGCTTGTATAGGACAGCAAGTTGAACATACCCTGGAGAGCAAGCCAGTAAGCAGCATTCCATATGATACAGTATTCTTTTCATATAAGCATTTTTCAAATATGCCTTTGATACGTTTTATCAATTAAAAGTTTATTCTTGCTCAGCTGGGGGGTGGCAGCGTACACCTTTAATCCCAGCACTAGGCAGGCAGAGGCAGGCGGATCTCTGTGAGTTCGAGGCCATCTTGATCTACTGAGTGAGTTCCAGGACAGCCAGTGATATGAAAGGACTTCTTGAGGAGTGTGAGGAAAGTAAATGACTCATGTAATAACCCCAGTAAATGCCTCTGTGAATGTTGAGGGTCAGCATGTTCTAACAGGGATGTAAATATGACTGACATTTCCTAATGGCCTGGACTATTTGCTGTAAAGAACAAAGTGTTGTGGCAACTCTGTGTTCCCACTTGGTTGTCTGGGATGGCTTCATTCTATTAAAATTCAGCAATGACTCAAGCACCTATTAACATACCGTAGTTGCCCCTTCTTCACTGCCATAAGCCCAATGTCTTTCCTAAGTGATTCATCCATTTATTTTAATGCTGCATTTAATTTTCATCTCCCCCTCAGAGGCAGGAGGGAGATAAGAGAGTGGGAGGAAAAGTGAACAGGATACACTCTGTACGCATCTGATATTGTCAAAGAACAAGTTGAATCATATAAGGAGAAATAAAGAGAAATGTAATGAGAACAATTTTCTAGACGAGAAATTTGAAAATGGGCATGACTGCAAGTTTGGTGATGTCCCCCTAACTCCTCCAGGGCTCTTGGACTTTAAAGTATGTCTCAGAAAATCTTAGTCATTTAGGAGAGATGATGGATGGAAGTGATGATGTCTAAGGAGTCGGGGAACCACAGACACCTTCTCAGCACACCTCTTAGGCTGCTGTGCAAATATTGGTCGGGAGGATATCTGGTTCTAATTCTTTGGAGCAAATCAGCCCATCTGCTGCTCGCTGTCCTTAACTGGGCATGCACGCAGCCCAGCAGTGAGGCATGCCTGCGGAGGTTTTCTCCCTGCCTCTGGGTTTGGAGGGCACATTGCTCTGCATTCCCAAGGGGGTTGGGGGGCAGACTTGGGAAGCCTGGGTCTTCAGTCACAGCCTACCCAGTGACCAGAAACAGCTAAATCAAATTTACAACATACGTCTCTACAGCCTCAAATAACCAGTGGTCCCATGACCTTGTGTCTTTAAACAAATACCAAACAAGGAGATTCGATTATTCGTTTGGTCTAATAAGGAATCAGTTTAGGCTGAAACTCGGTGCTTAGTTTATGTAATTTTTATACTGTGGGCACAGTGAAAGCTTCACACAAGCTAGTAGCTACAGTCAAGAAGGACGCCCTACCTGTCTTCATAGTTAAATTGGCATCTGGGTAAAATCGTGACAAAAAATTTTTTTTCATCGTGAGGGGGATCACAACCTCAAGGGAGAGAGCCAACACTTCCGAGAAACACTGTTCATCAACTTAGTGTCTCTGTACTCCTCTGAGGTTGTTGGTACTACACAAGTCAGTAGGAATAGAAAATGGAATAGTTCTTGGTCTCTGGAGTTAAGAGGTTTGTGTTCACACAGACACTGAGCATGCAACACAATGTGATAGATACTATGATAGAAAGAATTGCAAGGAACAGGGTGACTCTAAGCTGTCTAAATCCAAAATGTTGCTAGGAGATAGCATCCCAGCAATTTGGGGCCCAATTTGTCTGAGTCTTTCTTGGTAGAGTGGACTTGGAAACACCCAAGTCCCAAGGAAACTAAGATGGTTGGTCACGCTATTTGCAATGCAAATGGACCCTCTAAAATAAAGTTACATTGCTCTCTTTGCCAAAAGGAACAAAAAAAGCCAAGTTCCTTCCACTAAGCTCCTGCATACAGAATATTTGAATGAGGACTCAGTATTGAATGAAAACAAAACATATCTTTCAAGTTCTGCCAAACATAAATAAGTAGTCGAACTCATGTCTTGGAAGTCATGCATGGCTTCCCTAGCCCTCCACTAGTCTTGAGTCAACTGCTTAACCTGTGCAGGTGTTTGTCGGCTCATCAATTCACTCGTATACTAAATAGTGTGTTTCGATAAAATAAGTCCCGCTGTTACATCTTACCAGTTTATAAGAACAAAAGTATATTTGCACTGAAACTCATTGGGGAGTGTACTGGCCACCTCACAATGAGATGCTATCATGTCAAACATTATCCCCTCTTAAGAAGAGGAAGAACACTTTCTGCCTGTGGTAATAGTTTTGCCGCTATCCATCAGCAAATCTTAGGTCAATGACAGGTGCTTACATTTTTGCTGTCACAGCAGCACAACCTGGCCTATGCCGACTGATGGGGAAACCTCATGATACAGAAGTAGAACTTGGAAGAAATGAATGACAGATGAAGAGTGCTTGCTACTCCCATAGAGAGTGGCATGAATATATAAAACCACCCCTGGACACCCATCTGTCTCCTTAGATAGCTTAATAAAACCTCCTTAGTTAAAAATCAAAGTCATAAAGGTGGTTAAGACCAAGGTACTTCTAAGCAGTCAGTGCTCCTAGCTCAACCTTTGTACAAACAAGGAAGACTTTTACACAGAGAAACACTTTCTGTATGCAGACCAAAGCTCTGGCCCACCCAAATCTTTTGATCAGGGACAGAAAATGAGCTTGGCATGCAACGGCCTCCCTGCTACTGAGAAAGCAAGCCTATGTTGCAACATTCATGGTTTTCCAGGGCACTTTTTTAAACCACTGGATCATTTAGAACATATTTCCCTTGAGTCTTATAACATATTGACTCAATTCCCTCATCCATTTCATCATAGGCTTCCTGTCCTTGCTAAAGATAGACATAAACAAAATCTGTGGTTGGTATTTCAAAAAGGAAACATATGCAAAGCCCGACGACAGTCACTTCTTTTCCTGAGAGTAGAAGAACTCCATTTCCTATAGTGAACTGTCCAATTACAAAGCAATCTTTGACAGTTGAAGATAGTACATTTGAAGAACAAATGCCCTCTATTTGAGAAGTCACTCCAAAGAATTGGGGAGATGGATATGAAACCTGACTGTAGAGTGGTATGACAAGGTGAGTTTCTACTGGGGATCATTGATCGAGTTTCAATATGACTGGTTGTTTTTTTTTTAATGACTAAAGTTGTCATCATTGAGCTGTGGTGAGCATGTGCATAACATGGTTCTATGCAACATCAAAAAGTTCTGACAGTTCAACTAAGTAAAATAAAATGTGTCTTTAGTCTGATGGGTAAATAGAACCTTTGGGAAAAAATCCATAAAAGTTAAATTAGGAGACTGTCACCATGGCCCTGCTTATACGTGGTTTTACAGTGAATGAGCCCGTCCTCTCACCAACACACCAATTGCTTAGCAGTTTCCATGTGAATTAAAGCATGTCCTCTACAACTCAGTTTGGTTACTCTCGCTCCTATGACCTGGAGAATGAAATTTCAGCAGAAACTCCTGAGGCTCCTGGACCGGAAATTGTCCAGTGATGAAACTCCAGGGAGAGGGCAAAGGAGCCGATGCACCTGAAGTTCTGCAGGATGTTGGGGGCTGGAAATAGCGGGGAGAGGAAGGCTCTTGTAGATGCTGGGAGAGTCTTAAGGACAGCTCTATGGTCAGGAAATAATTACCTTTTCCTGATGGACTGCCTTAGAGGTTTATTAACACTCCTCTGTTTCAGGGCAGAGGTCTTCACAGATTCCAGCAGTTGCTGCGGAGAATTTTATAGCCGGTGTTCCCAGTGGTAGCAGAAGTGTGGGGACTACAGAGCACAGGAAGCGGAAGTGTGGAAGTACGCAGTAAAAGTGCACAGGACTACACCGCCCGCCCACGCTGCAGCGGAAGTGAGGAAGTGCAGGTACTACAGAGCCCACTGCCTGCACCTTGCAAGCCTGTGTGGTCGACAAAGCAGCTGAGAAGGAACTCATATTTCCCAATCCAGGAGTCGCCGGCTCCTATGGTTTCATAGGAGGGCTTGAAGGAACCAGACACTATGCTCAAACTTTTAAAAACTGAACCATTGGTTGCTTTGGATGAGTGTTTGGCGCATGAGATCCATGGTTCTGGCAGCTGACTACCTATGACTAAACAGAGTTCAAATCATATGACTAATTTCAGAATTAATTATGGCAAATATTGTGAAAGAACACATAACAGTAGGAAATCATCGACCAGGGTTCTTGACCTAGTCTTCCTAATTGACCTGTAGATTGAGTGAAGTTTCAACGTTCAGGACATCCACTTTCTTTTCTCCTCCATCCTTTGCCCCTGCCCAATGCTAAGGATCAAATGCAAAGCCAATCTACCACTGAACCACCCCCACTCCCTGGACCCCTTCTACTTCACAGCTTTGAGGTTTTAGACAGCTTCTCACTCTATAGCCCTGACTGGTCTGGGACTCACAATATAAATCAGGTTGGCCTTGAACTTGTACCAACTCTCCGTCCTTTGTTTCCCAGAGGCTGATACTATGAATGTGTACCACCATGCTAATCAATGTCAGCATCATTTTGAACAGAGAAATTTACAAGCCAATTCTGAAGTTATACAAGAGAGTTGGGGAGATCGCTCCACTGAGGACATTCTTGGATCCTCACTCAGCACCCATAAAAAAAGCCAGGCATTATGCCAGGCACCCGTAATCCCAGAAATGGTAGGATAGATCCAGAAGGATCCCTGAAACTCTCCAGCCCAGGAAAGATATTTATATTGGATAAGAGTGAGAATTATTAATTTTGGGTATTAGGTATGAAAGCCATAATGAAAAGGATCTCAGGATTAACACTTTAGTAATCTATTATATTTATATTTCCAAGTTATTTAAAAAATGGACTAGTAGATGGATAATTGGTTCATTAATTTATTAATTAGGGTTTCTATTGGGTTTTACAATGCTAAGAGTCTGCATCATGTGTAAATTACCTCTTCATCAAATTCATTCATCAACACCTTAATCCCCATATGAGAATGTGACTCAAAGTGTCTTAAATTGACTGAAAACCACCACTCATAAAAGGGGGAAAATGTAATGGATTTTGTTTCATTAAAACTTAGATTTTCTGTACATCAAAAGACATCATGGAAAAACAAGAGCTGGGTATGGCACACATCTTTAAGCCCAGTGTTTGGCAGGCAGAGGAGGCAGATATCTGAGTTTGCGGTCAGCCCAGTCTATGTAGTGACTAACCAGGGCTATGTAGAGAGACCCTATCTAAAAAAAAAAAAGAAGAAGAAGAAAGAAAAGGAAAAAAAGAAGGAAGAGAGAGAGAGATAAAAGAAAAGAAGAAAGAGACAAAGGAAGAGAGAGAAGAGACATGAAAAGGCAAACCATGAACTGGGAGAAGAACTTGTAATTCACACACCAACAATTGATCATATCCAGAAAAGAGTCTTGTAAGTGAAAGAAATAGAGAATGCAGGGAAAAGAGCTTCTTGCAATGATCCAAATGGTCTGAGGCATTTGGGAAAACGTTTTGTGTCAACTGAAAAAGGCAAAATAAATCCACAATGAAATAAAACTAACCACCCAACAGAGTTGCCAAAATTAACAAGATCAACCCTGTTCTACACACAATGATTAATTTTTAAAATGTGAAGTCAGAAGCAAACAACAAAAATCCAAAAACTGGCAAAAGCAGTCTACAGCATTAAAGTCCAATTGCCTTTGAGAAAACAGGAGAGGTTGTTTATAAGTGGAACAAGGGGAGCTTTAATGGTATTGACAACAACTAGGACAGAAATAAAATCATTGTGGAGTCATCTGTGTACAACCAAGAGGTAGCAGATGAAGGAAGGTCACAAGTAAAACACTAAACAAAACCAAAACTAAAACACATCTGATGAGCAACACCCATAACTCAGATCATAAACAAAACTCAGTATTATGTATCTGACACTGGGCTGAGCATTCAAACACATCATTGTATCTCATATTTGATATGTAGATCACCTAATAGTTTTACCCACATTTTGCAAACAAGGAAGGCATGTTGCAACTTTCCTGAGAACACAGAGAAACTTGGTAGAGATAATAATGCATCTCCAAGCTGGCGAGTCTTGGGCTCACAATCTCCCGAATTAAACCCTTTATGTAGAAACATCAAGTGTGTTTTCATGGATTTGGGTGTTCTTCCCTCGACTTTCAGTCATGTTTCAGAAACTTTTATAATGGTGGCTTACATGTTTTCAAGCTTGTTTATGGCATTCTATCACTTTTGTGCTCTTACGAGTAAGGGTTTGGCTGGCCCCTCCATTTTCCAACCAGTTACTGTGGGTGATTAGGAGATCCATTCAGTGATGTGTCTACACCTTGGCACTGACTACTGAGTCGTCTCATTAGCTTTGCAGTTGATTCCCTTGGTTATTTCAGGTAATCAAGGTGAGGTATGTAAATACTGACAGCTTCTATCCTCTGTCCCCGATTTCTTTCTTTGTCAGTACTGGTGCATTTCGTGGCATGGGGGAAGATTTACAATGTGGAGAGGGTGTGTATGTGGGGGGGGTGGGTCTTCAATCCCTTCCTGGCAGAGGGAACTCTGTGTTGTGAGTACAGGGCTATGTAACATCTTGACAGATCCCAGAAATCAGAAGCTGTCTGACACTGCTTTAAAAGTAGAGCACAAATGAGGATCGAAAGATGGTGACATGAAAGGGAAGATGGGCCCTGAAGAATGACAGACCCAAGCAGGGATGTGCTTATAAAATTTCCATATCAGATAAAACACAAGTGTCAGTCTTGGGAATGACTGTGGGAGGGATGTAAATAACAAAGGAAAAGAAAATGGGGAGGGTGGTTGTAAGCCTTCTATGGAATAAGAAAAAGGACAGGAATCTGCCAAGTAGGAGTTCCCATCCTCACCCCTCTCCCCCCAGCCCCTTCAGCATCTTTCTGGCTGTGTTTTTGGGCGAGTCACTTAGTCTCTCTGACTTTCCAGTCCTCTCATCTGTAACATTAGAATAAAACTACCAACTGGCACAACAGTGAGGCTTAGTAAGTGAATGCATGTACAGCATAAGGAAACCAGTCACTCATGGACTGAAGACGTGACTCAGGGGGTGAGTGCTTGCCCAGTGTGCACGCAGTCTTTGGGTCGCATCCCCAGCTCTGGGACAGGACAAGCAGTTCTTTATGAGCTTGACACCAGCAATAAACATGAACAGGAAGTTGAGTCCACAGATTCTGGGAATATATAGACTTCAAACTTCTCTGAAAGATGAGACAAGACAAATCTTGATATTTCACACTTTCAAGGCATCCTCCAAGTTCCCTGGGTCTCTGTTTTCTACTTTTTCTTCTCCCTTCCCATCCCCCCACCAATACACCCACCTCTAAGAGGGTATGGATATTCAATATACAGCACAGCATAATTCAACTTCATGCTTTAAACAGTTTTATGACAACTCAACATTGAGAAGGGGGGAGCTCAATTCTAAAAATGACCTAAGGACTTGAACAGCTAAGCTTCCAAAGGTGATGCAGAAGTGATCAACAAACCCATCTCTGGCTCTAGAAGACTACAAGTTGAAGTTACAACAGGGTACCACTCCATGCTCATTAGGGTGACTGCCATTAAAGATAGAAAACAGAAAGCATTGTCAAGGATGTGGAGAAATTGTAGCCTCCCTACACTGTGGGTGAAAGTGTCAAGTTCAATGTTCACAATAGAAAATAGTTCAATGTCCCTCAAGGCACTGTATGTATTATATATTGTTAAGGCATATTGTTTATGACTTAGCAATTCTGGATTTACCCTCAGAGGTGTTAAAAGAATGTACATGCACACATGTTAAAAATCACATAGCTATAAAGTTGAAATGGCCCAAATGCTCACCAGGATGACTACATCAACAAAATGTGCTGTACAGTATAGAAAAGAATGAAATCTAATGTTGGAACAGCATGAATGACCCTCAGAAGCATCATACTAAGTCAAAGAAGCAAGACACAGAGGGCTATAGAGTGTACAATTCAATTTACATTCAATATCCTTCGTCACTAATTCCACAAAAACAGAACAGTTTGTCCGTACAAGAGGCCAAAGGAAAGGGGATTAAGAAACAATTTGGTGAGCATGCAGCTTCCTTTTGGGGTAAGGGACATGTCAATCCAATTATCTAATTAGTGATCATTGCACACATTGCAAATGTGCTCAGTGCGACTGAAATGCTCGTTTTTTTTAGTAGCAAATTTCATGCTACTTAAATTAATCAAAATAAGCCTCTTCCCAGAAAGTAGATGTGATTGACTGCCAGAGTTCACAGACACCTGCTGCAAATCACCACCGAATTAAAATAAAAAAGGCTGGCAGTAAATCACTATCTATGATTATGGTCAGAACTTTTATACCCACTCAACAGTGGTCCCAATGAAGAGTGTGGTCTCCTACTGGCGGATGTCAGTGCTACCCTTCAGTAGGTAAATTATACTTGAGTCAGGTTTGCCTCATATCTTGTCCTTCCACAGTCCCATACACTCTCTGCCCTGTGCATGCTCCAGAAGACTTCTGGAAGCAGTTTTCTTCTTCTGAGTAGCTCCATTTCCTTAGGCTGTGGTATCTCTTTAAAAGTCCTCCCGAGGACCATCGAGATGGCTCAGTGGCTACAGGTAGTTGATGCCAAGTCTAACAACCTAATTTCAATCCATCCCCAGGACCCACATGGTGGAACGAGCAAACGGTGCTTTGAGTTATCCTCTGACCTCCATTTATGTACCATGGCACACATGTACACACACAGATGCATAAATAGCAAAACTAATGTTCCTAAGTCTTGGGGCTGGAGAGATGGCTCAGTGGTTAAGAGCACTATCTGTTCTTGCAGAGGTCCTGAGTTCAATTCCCAGCAGCCACATGGCGACTCACAACCACCTACAGTGGGATCTGATGCCCTCGTCTGACATGCAGGCATACATACAGACAGAGCACTCATACATATAAATGAACAAACAAATAAATAAAATGTTTTTTAAAAAAGTTAAGACTTCCCAGATGGTCCCATGAAAAACATCGCCCTTCTATGTCTCAATTATGAACTCCATACGGTCAGGAACCATGCCTCTTTTATTCACTCCTGCACTAGGTACATCATATGGTAAAGAAACTCAAGACTTTAGCTGCCAGCAAGCCAGATTTCTATTTCTTGTGTTTTGACTACTGATGAATACAGCAGCGCTTGCACAAAATGTCAGGTAGGTAAATTATCCTAATTTTAACTGCGTAATTGTCCTGTGTGTAGAGGAAAGAAGACTACCTAGGAACCAGGCAGGAACTTTTGTCTTCCCCAGACAAAACATCCTCTTGCCTCCTATATCCAGAGAACAGAGCATGATTCTTAAGCTCTTCTGCCAGCCGCTCCTCTGTGACTACCTGGAAGGGAAAGTGTAGAAAAATACAATCATGCACCATAGCTTGAAAGGCTACTTGGAATCCAGATTGCTTAGTTACATTAAGAGAAGGCAAGAGTCCAAATCCTGCCCTGAGAGCTAGCTATTGTTCAGTCGTGGATAAGACACACAGTTCTTTAGGACTCTCTGCTGGCTAGTTTTGCACCAATTTGGAAAAGCTAGAGTCACTGGAGAGGAGGCAAGCCGGTGGGGCATTTTCTTAATCCGTGATTGGTGGGGGAGAACTCAGCCCATTGTGGGTGGTGCCATCCCTGGGCTGGTGGTCCTGGGATCTATAAGAAAGCAGGCTGAGCTGGGCGTTGGTGGCGCACGCCTTTAATCCCAGCACTCGGGAGGCAGAGGCAGGTGGATCTCTGTGAGTTCGAGGCCAGGCTGGACCGACAGCCTCCAAAACAGAGAAACCCTGTCTCGTAAAACCAAAAAAAAAAAAAAAAAAAAAAAAAAAAAAAGAAAGCAGGCTGAGCAAGCCAGGGAAAGGAAGTCAGTAAGCAGCTCCCCTCCCCCTCTACATCAGCTCCTGCCTCCAGGTTCCTGCCCTGCTTGAGTTCCTGTCCTGGCTTCCTTCAGTGATGGACTATAGTGTGGAAGCATAACCTAAACAAACCCTTTCCTCCCCAACTTGCTGAAGTCATGGTGTTTCAGCACAGCAATAGTAACCCTGACTAAGACAGCCTCCTAATTATTGATTAGATTTGGAAGCATGTGACAGTAAGCCCACATGACAGCAATGGAACTGCATCGGGATTTGTACCCTGACATTACAAAAGTGTGCAGGCCCATGACTAGGACTTGTATGGCACAGCCAGGAAGCCACTGACCTCCTTCCTACCTTCCTCCATCATCCCTAGGGTGTGTCCTGTCTTCATAGCCCAAGTCGGCTCTGGAAGCTCCATTCATTTTACCTAGATCCCAGGTCCTAGGTCATAGAAAAGCCTGGGGTGTTGCTATCTGACCCCCCTTCTGGTGGCAAACAACATGTAGAAAATACCACCCTCACTGTTGTCGTTTTCTGATTTTGTTTTTGTTCCTTATACAGCACTGAGCGCTTATCCCAGGGTCAAATCAGGATGTGAAAATCTCCTGGCTTTTACTTCATCTTTTCTATGTCATGGTTACAATGCACAGGGGAGGTGGAGTCTTTCTTTCTCTTCCCTGCATTTGGCCAAAGGATAAATAAAACCAACTTTAAGAAAAAGGAGGGAGAGAGGGGCAGGGAGAGGAGAGGGGGAAAGAGTTGGGGAGGGAGAGAAGGGGAGGGGAAGAGAGGAGGGAGAGAAGGGAAGAAAGAGAAGGAGAGGGGGAGAGAGGCAGGGGGGGAGAGAGAAAGTAGTATTAACCACTCTAGCTTCAGTTTTCCCTTTCAGTCAAAGTAATTCAATGTCACCCAGCCTAACTTCAAAGAGATGTTGCCAGTACTAGGAACTGAGGTGGGATCGTTTCATTGTTCTAAGTAAGCAACACCCTAATCTAGCCTTAAGAGTCAAGAAGGCTTCTACAGGTAATAATTACGGAGAAGACAGATCCCAAAAGGAAAAGACATTTAGACTCCATGTGTAGGCGCCTGTTCAGTGTCAAAGTCAGTTCAGGGGAAGAACACTAATTTGCCACCTACTGTGTGAATTTCTGCAAGGTTTGTGGCATCTCTGAACATCAATGTATTAATCTTAATTTTTGATCAATTACTGTCTTACTTTTCATGTATGTGTGTGGGGGTGGGCAGACATGTACCATGGTGCAGGCATCAGAGGACTTGTGGGAGTTGGTTCTCTCCTTCTGTCATGTGGGTACCAGACATCTAACCAGATTCTCAGTTGGCAGCAGGTGCCCTTACCTATTGAGACATCTCATTGGCCCAGTTGGTTTGTTTGAGACAGAGCTTCTCTGTGTAACAGTCCTGACTGTCCTGGCACTCTGTAGACCAGGCTGGTGTCAAACTCAGAAATCCCCCCTGCCTCTGCTTCCCCAGTCTGACATTAAAGGTGTGTACCGCCACGTCCAGCATAGTTCATTATTCATAGACGGTGGAAAGGACAATTATATCAAAGGGTCATGGAGTACATTAAATTGCTGACATATATTTAAAGACTACTTGTAATCGCAGAGCTTGAAAGACTCAAGCAGAGGATCAAACACTTGAAGCCAGCCTGGGCTATGTGGGGAGACCCACTCCAGCCTGGGCTATGTGTGAAAACCCACTCCAGCCTGGGCTATGTGTGAAAACCCACTCCAGCCTGGGCTATGTGGGGAGACTCACTCCTGCCTGGACTATATGGGGAGACTGGGGAGGGAAGTACAGAATGAACCTGCTTTTCTTGCTTACTTAATGACAAAACCGTCTCAAGAGCAAAACCAAGCCATGTAATATATAATAACCCTCCTCTTAAACGCTGGATTATTGGATTAAACAAATCTGCATTAATTTGACCCCTATTTGACAAATGTTACCAAGTTTTTGCTGCTGTTTTCCTTATCTATAGTTCCTTACCCCAAACATGCCCCATGTTCAATAACACACATGGGTCCCCATGGAAAACTAAACCAGTTGAAACCATAAGCACCAAAGAATATGTTTTCTAAGTACTGTCTGAGTCCTAGGAGGCCTAGGAATTATTTTCACAGCAAAATAAATTTTAATACATATGACAAATTTTCAGAGAAGGCCTACTATGTGGAAGGCACACAGGCTATATTCTGATCTCAAATGGCTATGCTCTGCTTACCAGGCCAACACAGGCCCTTTCCCACCGGGTCTATTCTGTGGGTCTTAAAGAAGTAGATCAGACAAAATACTACGGGAAGAGTACAAGTTGTTTTCTAAATCCCAAGACAAACTGCTTGCTCTAAAAGATAACAAAACAGAATTTTCTGCATTTCCTCTTGTGACTGTCTGCTGTTTGAATTCAGCAGGAAATGAATCAATTACCCCTTTTAAACAGATGCCATAACTACTTATATAGGAGATCATGGCAGAAAGGCTCTGGCAAGACTGTTTACGAAATGAGGTACTTCATATTTTATACCAAGCATGATGACATTTAAGCAACTCAGGGGAAATACATTTTTGCATTGTACTAGACAAGCTGCATTAAGAATTTTTACGTAGGGCACTAGGTAAATTCCATGCAAAATAATTTTCCCTGAAAAACTGAATGTTCACAGTGTCCTTGCCTGCTGTTTTATTTTTCATCTCAAAAGGCTAATCTAAAATGTGACCTTATAAACAATCCCTGCATACAATGAGCCAAACACTGGCAAGTGAGTGCTACTCTCTGATATCCTAAGTCCCCAGGGAAGAAGGAAGCCACATCATTTCCCTTTCACCTCCAGCGAGCTATTTATAGCCCAGCATGCTAATGAAAACCCCAGTGACCTGAGAAAGTTAATGCACCTTTCCAAGGGAATAGTAATTCAGGGTCGAATGCAAGATGCACAGTGGTATTTTCAGGCACGCTCACTCAGCTCACGACTCTCGTTCCTTATGAAAGAATTCCACGATCTGTATTTATTTTGGTTTTCACATTACCCAGTAGATAACTGACTATTCTGTGGAATCCTGATGTTCTAAGAATACCTTAAGGGAAATTCCAGACCAAATGCAGATAACTACAGTATAAAAATTTTTAAAAAGAGAGAGGAAAACAAGAAAGGCACAGCATTCATCTTAAAAACTTAATGAGATTCAAAGGTTATATAAGAAAGTGAAACCAATAAAATGGTTTCTGAAATCAGTTTAAATGTCAGCTATGTGTACCTGATTAAAATGATGATGTAGGGAAACCTTGTCTCAGAAAGGCAATAAGACAAATGAATGCAGCGACAATTGTGAAATCAGGCAAAGCTGATCACGGTTATACAGACATGGGCCTGAATTCAGAGAAACTGAAAGGCAGGCCTCTAGGTCACAGGGAAGAGGTCACTCAGTGGACGTCTCTGCTTTACAGTTGCATCAACCAAATATTAAGAAAGAGAGATGAGCAGTTCCGACCCCAGGCAGTAAATGCAGAGTCCAAGATTCGTTGTGATGGCGAGAGACACACCCTGTGAGACACAAACGCTGCTGGTGACCTACTCGGGTTTTTTGTTTGTTTGTTTGGGTTTTTCAAGACAGGGTTTCTCTGTATAACATCCTTAGCTGTCCTGGAACTCACTCTGTAAGCCAAGCTGACCTCAAACCCACTGAGTCCTCCTGCCTCTCCCTCCCAAGTGCTGCGATTAAAGGCCTGACCTCATTTAGAGAGGAGGAGGGTTAAGAAAACTTTCCAGGCACAGTGGATGGTACACACCTGCAGGCCCAACACTCCAGTCGCTGAGGCAGGAGAATGGTAGGTTTCAGGTCAGCCCTGGGGCTTCATGGCAAGTTCCAGGACAGCCGGATTTATATAGCAGGACCCTTTTTCTAAACCAACAAAAGAAAAAATAATAAATAATTTGCATATACCCAAGGTCACAAAACTAAAAGAGAGAGCCAGTCTCTGTAACCTGATTGTCTTGACCCACCCCTGAGTCTACTTGCTTAACCACCTAGCTGCCTAACTCAAGTGTCTTCCCCACCCAGTGAGCTAACCCCTTTCTGTAGACAGGCATTTAAGAAGGGATGGGAAGGATACTCCAGGAAAAGGGCTGCCCCTCAGTGTTAGCCCCATAAGTAACGGAGTCTCCCCTTTGTTCTTAACTGTCCTAGCTAGCTCTTCTCTATCTGTGGCAACTGGATTTATTTGGGAAGAAGGAACCTCAGTTGAGGAATTGCCTCCCTCAGACTGGCCTGTGGGCAAGTCTGTGGGGGCATTTTCTCCATCAACGACTGTTGTGGAAGGATCCAGCAGCTTTGTGGGCGGTGCCATCCCGGGGGTGGGTGGACCTAGGTCATATAAGGAAGCAAACTGAGGGGCTGGAGAGATGGCTCAATGTTAAGAAAGCAAACTGGACAAGTCATAAGGAGCAAGCCGGTTAGCAGCATTCCTCCTTAGTCTCTGCCGTGGTTCCTGTTTCTCCCCTTGAGTTCCTACCCTGAGGTCATGAATGATGAAACGTCAGGTGTAAGCCAAATCCTTTCCTCCCCAGGTTGGTCTGGGTCATGGTGTTTATCACAGCATCAGGAAAGCAAACTGGAACGCTAACACACACAGGAGAGAAGTATTTAGAAGCCCCCGCTAAAATTCAGGTTCATTTACTAGATGACTCTGTCCCCCATTCTGGTCCTCCGCAAAGCCCTGTTTTTCCCAGCTTACAAAAAGAACTGACAGGATCTGACATCAGGAGGTTGCCCCCAAGGCAAAATCTATGAGATGGAAACTTCCAAACACAAATCAAATCCTGCCCTCTCCTTCCCTCTGACTTTCAGCTCTAAATATAGTATAAATCAACACACACTAAACAGAAGAAAAAAATGCTTGCTGGTTCACCGCAAAATGTTGACCTTTTTTCTCCTTCTCTTTCTCCTTCTTCTTTTCTTCCTTCACCTATTTGTTTACTCATTTCTTTTCTGTAACCCAGGCTGGCCACAAACTCAAGTAGTGGCTTTTACCCATGATCCCAGTATTCAAAGAGGTGGAAGCAAGATCACGAGTTCAAGGCTATCTTGGACTTCAAAGCAAGATGAGAGAGAAGGAGCGAGACAGAGGCAGAGGGGAGATTTTTAAGATGGCAGCATCTTAAAAATTCTAGCTTCAGTTCTACAGCTGGATGACAACATTTCTTTGAATATCTTTTCTGTGGATTTGTACAAGTATACAGATATATCTCCCTTTTTAAGCAGAGTACCAACTGATGATGGGTATGCTGCCTAATTCCATGGCCTCTAAGTTCTACCTCAGATAGCCATCGCAACCTCCAAGGAGTTCATAGTTTACCAGATACATCAGGCTTTTCTTTTGGGCCACCAATCACCTCCCAAATCATGACACAGAGACTTAGTTTTAAATGTTCAGCCTAACTCTTTTAACTTAAATTAACCTGTTTATTTAACTTTCTCCTTGGTGCTTCTTACCTTTTATACCTCCTGCTGTCTCTATGTAGGCTGGCTGGGGCTGCCTGGCTTCTTGCCTTGGGCAGGTCCCTGGTTCCCTCCTTTTTTCTTCTCCCATTCCTCTCTAGCCTAGCTATCTCCTCCTGTTTATCCTCTCTGCCCACCAGCCCTAGCAATTGGCTGTTCAGCTCTTTACTAGGCCAATCAGGTGCCTTAGGCAGGCAAGGCAAAACACATGCAACACTTTTTTTGCATAATTAAACACACAGCCTTACACCACACCATTAAACAAATGCATCGTAAACAAAAGCAACACACCTTTACACAGTTAAAGTAATATTCTGCAGCACAAACAAATGTAACACACCTTTGCCTAGTTAATATTCCACAACTGGGAATAGCTAAGACACTGTGAGACAATGCACTAATCAATTTCCATGGGAGCAATCAATCTTGTGTGAGGGACTAGTCCACAGAGGCAGTGACATTTGAGTTTAGCCACAAAGGATGAGTTAGTTTCTCCAAGAACTGATGAGCATTCCAACATCAGGGTCAAACTACAAGGAGAATAAGAACGCCACATCAGAGAACCCTCTCTGCTTTGCTTTGCTTGCTACAGGTTACTAAAGACATAATAGCCTTGATCACTCTCAGGGTTACTCCCCTAAAGGCATTCAGGGATGGTTTTACAAAGTAAATGTGTGGTGTTTAACTATCCCAAAGCTGCTATTGGGTAGCACTTAGGATTCTGAACAATCCAAGTGTCTCTTTTGTGGGTTCATATATAATGAATGAGTGCTACATTAGAGATTATTGAAGAGTGTAAGCCTTCTTTGCATGTATAAGGTCTATAGCTTTTAAAATATTGATGCATCTATGCAAGTCACTTGACTTAAATTGTACAGTGAACTCAGGAAAGAAAATGTCAAAGTTGAACAAATGTTAAATGAACTCTCTTTAAAAAGAAATTTTTAAAAAACAGATAACGCTAAAGATGAACTAATCTACAGATTCAACCTGAATTTTAACATGCAGAGAGCTAAGAAGAATGGAACAAAACGGCAGGGAAGACTTGAGGAAAAACCCCAAGAATTAACTTTAGTACTTGTTCTGTGTGTGGCCTGTGTTTCCCTGCCAATCACTTTCTCCAAACAGGCAGCACCTCACATGGCACCTGGTTTCTTTCTCTCTCCTGTGGCATCTGTCCTTTGTCGTCCACTAGGGTCTCCACCACAGCTGACACCGTGAAACCCTTAGAGACCAGGGCTTCCCCGCACTGTGCCCAACAGTTGGGCAAACAGACCGGCTGGCCTTCTTTCTTGGCTCACCTCCTCCTAGAGAAACAGAACAGAGGCAGAAGCCCTTGGGTCCTTCGGATAGACAACAGGGCCACTGTCGGTGCAAGTCTCACCGCCTCCACATCCCGAGGGACTCACGAGTCAGTTCTTGAGAGAGAGATCTGGAGAGTCACAGGTCCCTCCTACACAAAGACTTGTTCCTGGGCCCACCTTCCTCCCTCTTGCTGCCTCAAATCTCTGTACAAGAACTCATCCAAGAAAGCCTTGGGTTTGTCACACAGGGGTGACTTGGCGTACTGTTTCTCTAGGTAAGGCTGCACTAGTCTAGACTTCAGAAACACTAACAATCAGCTTCTTTCATGCCTCCGTATACACAAAGAGGTCAGAGGACAATGTGTAGGAATCAGTTCTCTCCTTCTACCAGGTGGGTTCTGAGGCTCGAACTCAGATCATCAGGCTTGGTAGCAAGTGCCTTTAAATGAGAGTTTAATAGTCCATCTCAGGTGACACTATGTCCAGTTCCATCTTTTTATTTCAAGTATTCTATTTTCCTCTGGAATACCAATCATGTTTTTACGAGGCCTTTCTATATGTGTGTTTCTTCGTTTTGTTTTCAAAGGCACTGTAAAATAGCTACTATTGTGATCTCCATTTTCCAGAAGATAAAATTAACTCCTCCCACCCACCCTCACCCATGACTTTCACTACTAAATGTTACTAATTCAGGCTACACTCAAATCCTCATCTGCTTCAGGAAGATTTAATTGGCACCACTGATCTGGACAGGCAGATCCTATTCTCGGTTCTAATGCAGCCCAGATCATCCATCCTCTGGCCCCACACCAGAAGGAGGCTAGCAGGAGCCTCTCTGGACCCTCCCCTCAAGCCTTGAGCAATCCCATCCACTCTTCTGGATGCTGCAAATGAGATAAGTCATTGTCCATGTGCACAAGGATGTGAAAAAGACAAAGAGATGCCATCCTGGAGGAATGGCTAAGCGAATGGGTTCCAAGGCCACCAGTCAGTTGTGGTGCCTCTGGCAGCGCAAACCTCATTCAGATAGATTACTCATGTGGTTTTCACAACAATGCAAGGTAAGTTACTCTGAACCCGTTATCAGAGGGGAGATGGCACGGATCACAAGTGGCCTATTTGATTGTCACATCAACGGTCCAAGAGCCATCATCTAAACCAAAGCCCACACTTGTCACCATGACACTGCATACAGAATCTTTCTCATGGCTCTTTTTTTTTGAGGGTTCAATGTGATAGTGCAGATCAAATTGTATATATTTGCTTTTTTTTTTTTTTTGGTTTTTTGAGACAGGGTTTCTCTGTATTGTTTTGGAGGCTATCGGTCCAGCCCAGCCTCGAACTCACAGAGATCCGCCTGCCTCTGCCTCCCGAGTGCTGGGTATATTTGCTTTTAATATATGTGTGTTTAACCACCACCGTGGACCTCTGCAGTGGTACCACTCAGTGGTACCAGTCCAGGAAACTGATATACCACTCACCATCCCACCCCCAGCAATACAAAGGAACACACATGCCTGCATTGACAGAACCAGAGAAAGAGAGTTGGGGAGCCCTATGTTGTTGTAACCCTGGGGTGAGGAAATCATCTGCACAGCTGCCTCTCCTCAATGGTGGGTTCCACAATTGGATATTCCAATGCACTGTCTGGCTAGAATGTGGTTAGAATTAGGTACCACATCTCACATGGCATGGTGAGCTAAGAGGCATTTGTAATCAAACTATTCCAGCTTGCAGCCACTGCAGGAGCACTAGAGATTGGCTAGAGAAAATGTCTATTCTTGCAAGGGTCGCCAGGGCTTAAGGAATCTGCCCTGGCATGAGTGCCTCACTGAACAGGCATGTTGGGACCCATGCTTACCAATGAAATGCTAGGATAGGGATGCCCCAATCGAGGGATTGTCACACCAACTAAATGAGATAACCTGCAAAGTGAGTCCACTGTTAATGTTGCCTCCCTGGCCAAGATTGCTACTCAGTGCTTAAGCTTGGGTAAATACCTTGTAGGAAGACAAAGGTAGCATTTCATAATGTCAGCCTCAACCTGGAAGGGAAAGTCTGTGTTTGCAGAGCTCTGCCAGCCCCCCTCCCCCGCCCTGCCCCACCCCGCCCCGGATTCCATAGCAAACCTGAAATTTATTAACCTTTTTAGCCAGCTTTTAGTACCAGTGTAAGAACACTGTTTTTGCATAATCAAGAAACCTCCTCCCAGCAGCCAAATAAAAGGAGGCCAGGTGTTCAGGATTAAATATGCATTATCCCACTGCTGGCTTTCTGGAGATGGCATCAGGTTATTTGCTCTTTCATAATGCATGCCATTTCTAGAATAGAGAAGGCAGAGAGAGAAATGAGTAGAGATGATAAAGGAACATCAGGAAAACAGGAAGCTCCTGGGACTACGGATGATGAACAGCAGAAGAAGAAAGGCCAGTTCTATCTGTGGCTAGTTTCTGGGCTTTTTTCTTTCTGGGCTTTTTTTCCCTTTCCTTAAGAACAGCCCTTCTTCCTGCCCACAGTGAATCGGACAGACCATATCTGAGGTCCCACAGCAGCATCCGTGAGTCTATTTGAAGGCACTAACTTACTTGTCTTTGTGGCAAAGCTGGACTGGCCTTTAATCATGAGATACACAACCACCAAATTCTCCAGAACCATCTTTAAAAAGAAAAATAAAAAAAGGCCCCATCCACAATATCAGGGTTTTTTAATTAGCATGGTGAGATGAATACATAATTTACAATGCATGTATAACAAAGAAAGTTGTTTCCTTAAGTTAAAGCAATCATTTCTGTTAACAATACTAATTGGTTATATTTCAA